TCAGTGTGTGCTCAGTGTGTGCTCTGTGTGTGTGTGTGTGTGTGTGTGTGTGTGTCAGATGAAGGAGCGCTACACGAAGGCCCTGGAGGAGCTGAACCGCTGTAACCCTCGCTACATGGAGGACATGGAGCAGGTGTTCGACCTCACCCAGGAGGCCGAGCGTGAGAGGCTGCGCTTCTTTAAAGAAGTCCTGCTGGACATCCACACACACCTCGACCTGTCCGCCAAAGAAGGGTAGGACACGCACACGCACACGCACACGCACACGCACACACACACACACACACACGTACATCCTAAGAGCAAAGAGGGTGATTAGGTGATTCATGATCTGTGACTCAGAATGAAGGCATGCAGGACTGTCTGGGTTTAAATGTGTGTGAACATGTGTGTATGTACACAGGAGTTAATAGAAAACTTGTGATGTTGTCCATTAACTATTGACCTCTCGTTCTATTTAAACAAGCCACCGTTACCATGGCAACCTCGATTGGTAAAGTCCAACGAGATGTTTGTCCAAATATTGAACAAAGATTCATCTTTAATTAACTCGAGCTGTGATGAGATTTGATGGGAATGTACTTGGAAAAAGACTTCCAGGAACTTTATTTGTATATTATTGTTTGTTTTTTGTTTCTTACATTTGCTCTTTTGGAGTAAAATGGTTTATTCCACACTCACAGACTTTAGTTAATGGAGTCTCTTGCACATGAATACTTCAAGAGTATGTTCACATTTTCTTCAAGTCTTTCTTAAAACAGTTCTCTTATGCCCATCTGTACATGTAAACAGTTTGTGGTCACTGTAATCATTCCTTGTGTCCACACTAGCTGTTTAATGTGATTTCATATCCCCGCTCTTCACTGCAGGTGGGCCTGCCTCTGCCTGGAGAAATGGAGAAATAGTTTTTTTTAAGCAGCACATCCAGCAAAGGATAAACGCCCCGTGTTATAAAACAGTGACATGTACTCGCATATTTACTTCACTCAATAATGGGCCAGTGGTATTTTCACATTGTCACTTAACATCTGCTACTAGACTTCAGGGAGTAAGGATCGTTATGGAATAAACAATAGCCATAGAAGAGCTGCAGATTTTGTACTCAGTACTAGCCCACAGACTATAGAGTGAGACCACGACATAATTATGCACTTTGAGTATTCCTCTACTAAATTATGCACATCAGAGCGGAGTTAGAAGTGGGTACATCGAATGTCGACTGAGAAATAAGTGGGTGTACCGGTGTATATCCTGCACTGCACCACTGAATATGATGTTTGACAAATTAAGTTCACGTCTGTCACAGTTTTGTTCGTTTAAGTCCTAAAGTTCATCTTGAGAATTAAGCAGAGTCTGCTTGCAACAAGTTGTTGTGTGTTTTTGAGTTTGAGGAGTTCAACGAAAATTTAAAAAAGTTTTTTTCCTCTTAAGTTTGTGAGATTGTGTAATTTTAATATTTAGAAGCCCCAAGAGTTCAGTGTATCCTAAATAGCTTTCTAATGGGGTTCTGCAGCGGCCCAGGGTTCGAATCCGATCTGTGGCCCTTTGCTGTGTGTCATCCCCTCTCTCTACCCCCCTTTCCTGTCTATCTCCAGCTGTCACTGTCAAATAAAGGCAATAAAAGGCCTAAAGAAAACTTAAAAAAAAAAAAAGCTTTCTAATTTAACATATTAAAGGTAGTATTACACAAGAGAAATTATACATATTTTATAGGTTTGTAAATAAGGACATGTACCATAAATGTAAGAAACACCTCAAGTGTGAAGCAAAGGTGGAATATTAAGTTTTGAAAGTTGATTAATGACCCTGGAAAAGGAAGTTTGTCAAAAAAAAGTCTTAACTACTGGCTTTTTCTGGAGCCTTCTGTAGTATCTCATGGTTTTCCTCATTGAATAGAAGTTGTATTTTCAGAGTAGTCCTCTCTGGTCTGTTCTCTGTTGAAATGCAGTCAACAGGATGGAAGAGGAAGTGCAGTGTTCAAACAGCCCTGAGGCATGTACCTGCAGTTCCTGGGAAGGTTGGATGTCGATGAATTGATGCAGGCTTTTGCCTCATATCATCTCTCAGTGTAAACAAACCTGCACTGAGCCGATAACGGCGACTACAAAATATGCACATACAATAGTCTTATCTGGAATTCCACCTTTAAGTGGAGGCTTCAGGATTTTAAAGGCCCAGCCCCCAGAATACACACTGGAATCAGGAACCTGGTCCAGTAAATAAAGCATACACTACACCAACACTGTAATTCTTTCATGTTCTTAGTTCTTACTTGGCTCTGCAGTTCTCAGCTCTGTGGAGCTTTCTAGCGTCTTTCAGCTCATTGTTTTGGTTTTGCGACAATTTCACTGTTTTGATTCACTCCCAGTGCTCTCATAAGACTTTCAGTAAAAAGTTCTGACAAACAGCAGACAGGCAAAGTTAGCAACGAGCTGGTGAGCATAGTGGAGCTCACCAAGCTCACTTTAAGCTGCTAAATAGCAGTTTAAAGATATTTTTCTCATGAGTTGCTGGAGGCCAAAAACAGAGTTAAAAGGTGACAATTGTGCTTCATACATTCATCATCAATCACCGCTTTAGGGGATAATATATCAATGTTGAGTTTACAACTTCTTCTGCTGCCTCAAAGCAAAGCAAGTATTAATGCAGCTTTGCCTTAAAAGGTAACATCTGTGTTTTTCAACCTGGACCTCATTTTCTTGTGAATTTGGTCCAGCACTGAGACAAAGTGACCTACAACAAAATCCTTATTTCCATTAAAAGTGCTGACCGACTCAGATTGTCATTATAAGTGTGTGACAACGCGAACCTTCAGAGAAATTAAATGCTTTCTGTTCCTTTCACATGATCCAGCCTGTGTAGAGTCTTATTCTGAAATCTCCTCTGTGGGGTTACAGTAACGACATCCTAACTACCGAAATTACCCTTTAATAACACAGCAGTCACGTTGAGGAGATAAACTAAGGCTGACCTCTCTCATTTGTTCTCTACCACTGAAACACCATCTATGTTGCTTTTTAAACTACTTAGAATCAGCCAAAAGTAGTGAACACAACACTGAAATATCCTCTTCTTTTAAGTTGAGATGGTGAACTTGACTATCAGTTGCTTATGTACACACCCAGCAGTTACAGAGCAACATTATCATTTAGATGAAGTTGTGTTTCTGTCTACCTGATGAATTCAAGCCCAATATTCTCTCTCTTTTTGGTCTGTTTTTGGTCTCTACCAACTCTTTATATCTTGTTCTTTAGCTGCTAAATGCTCCTCTGTGTTCACCAGCTAGTCTCTAACTGTGTCTGTCTGCTGTTTGCTGCTGAGTGGGGAGTGTACAGGCGCTATGAGAGCGTTCAGAGTGAACCAGAACAGTAAAATTGGAGGGTGGACAGCTAAACAATGGGCTGAAGCTCATTGTAAAGCTGAGGGGGAGCTGTAGATTCGTCCCTATGAGCAACCCCTTCATTGGCATTTGACATCTAAACAATTATAGCTATTTTAAATATATGTAACAGATACACACACACAACACACTTTTTAACGTTTGCTGTGTGTATGAATGTCTTTTTGAGTATTTGTATATTTATAATAATAATGATAATAAATTTTATTTATATAGCTCTTTTCAAAACAGCAGTTCCAAGAGACATAATGGTCAACAATAAAAGCAATGCATAATGGTATTGATAGAGACATACAACTTAACGGCACGTAAGAGTACAGTTTAAATCAAAAGCAGATACTCATCAGCAATAAAAGCAATGTAATAAGTAACTAGTTTAAAACCTGTAAAAAACTGTAGCTAGCACATATAAACATAATTTGTACATGTGGGTTTTTAAAATGCGGTACAGACTGAGAGTAAGGGGGAGGCAGTCCCATAGTGCATGAGTTAAAACAGTCAGTCCATTAGCACCTGAGCCACCAGGAACGACATTTATTTGCTGTATATTCTGTATTTGTAAATGACAATAAACCAGCCTGAACCTGGAATAAAGTGCAGACTGCTGTTTAAATCAAAGACACCTGCCTGTTACACTGTGACAGAATTAAAAAACTACAAACTATATAGCATGATGAGGAGGAGTGAAGATATGAAGAT